GTCTGTGGCCTTTTCAGGCAACTAACCAGGCTCTGCAGATGCAAGTCTTGTCTTCATGTGAGAGGCAGCTTCTGCACAGCCTTCTTGTTTTTTCAAAGCTCACATTGAGATGTCTGAGTGGCTCTAAAGTTCAGAGCTGTTCTGTGGAAAAAGGGTCCAAAAGAACAAGTTGTTGTGGCATTTGTCTTGCTCTACTTGGTCTTCAAGAATTTACGTCCCCCTTCCTGTCAAAAACCTAATAGGTTTTTCTCCACTTGGCTTTTTCTCTAGAGCAGACAAAGAAGGGACGTATTGGACAACGTTGAGAGTGAGAACAGGAGTAAAATCAATAGGAAAACATAGGTTATAATGTAAATATGAGATTAACAGTGTCAGCTCTACGGTAGAAGCCAAAATAATGAGTGAGGTCTGCAGTTGCTTCTGCGTTAGAGATATGTTTGCAAGGGTTTATGAATAATGCCTCTGCCTTATCAGCGGTATTGCTGTTATAGCCGGTTCTTAGGCTCATTGCTGGAGTATGATGGGAGAGACTTCCCATCACCAGCTTTTGCCTACAAGCTTGAAAGCTCAGTTCAATACAGAGAGCACAGCAGAGGCTTGACAGGCACCAAGGGTATTTACTCAGCTTCCAAAAACTTCCAGACGCGCTTATTTACTTTCATCTTGGCTTCCTCTTGTGAGTGTGCCTTCTCTGCCTCCCACTCCAAGCTTCATTCTCTCATCCTGTTTCCTTTAGTCAAGTTTTAAAGTGAAAAGCAGGAGTGGCTTTCAAACATGCTTCAGTTTTCAAGTTCCCTACTTTTCACTTTATTTCTCCACTAACTTTGCCATTCTCAGCAGGGTGCTAGTTTTTGATGCTTTAGCACTACATTTTTAGAGACAATTACTCTACCCTTATGTATACATAATCTTCTGATCAGGCCACTAAAGTAAAGATATAAGTGCCATACAATTGGTGACTTAACCTATTTTAGTTTCATTTGCATTATTTCTTTGCAGTATTTTCCCATAAGTCCAATAATAAAATAATGAATCATTATGTTTGAAAAAGAAAGTATTACAAGGCAGGTAAACAGCTGCAGCCATTCTGTCTGCATTTCACTGCAACAGAGCTGCATTTTCATGGGAACAAAAGAGAACCAATAGACTCCCTAAATATATGCAGAGGACCAATAAATAACATCAGAATTTACTGTCTGAGCACTTGTGACAGCCACAACACATCTCGCAGCATGTGATGCCGACTCACTAAAAACCTCTTTGTTGTCTAAATCTAGTGTGAAAATTACCCAAAGGTTTTGAGACTTGGAGAAGATGGCGTGGAGCCAGTGGTTTGGATGCTTAACATTGGTGAAGAGTTTGGGCCTTTAAGTTTGGGGCTTTTTTCACTAATTAAATCTATCTGGTAAAATAATCACATTAAGATGTTCCTAAAGAAAACCTTGAGACTTTTTTTACTTTAAATCCAAGCATCTATGTTGGACTCAAAATAAGAACATTCAACATTATGCTATTTCAAACTTCGAATAAATACATGATGATCAAATCTGGAGCTACTGAAATTGTCAATGACCAAATATCATTCACAGTCCAGCAGCTTTAAAGGGAAGTCATCTGCTAATGCTTAAAATGTATTCACATGAAACTGCCATAAAGTTAATGTATGTTATTTATATTCAAGGTGTCAGTCGTTGACTAAAAGCTAAGGAAAGGTCGACTGAAAAGCACAAAATGTAAATGGTATGAAAATGGTGTCAGTATGGGGCTAAGCTCTAAAGAGCTATCTCTTAGAGGAGCTATAGAGCGCATCTCTTGCTGTGCATCCTCCTACTGGCTTGTCTGTATTCAGTGCACACTACACACAGTTATTGCAGTTAAGCAATCATTTTCTTCCTATTTTTGCATAATGTTTCAAAGAAAATACCTCAAAATGTAATTGATTATACTATTTTTAGTGATGCACAGCATACATTCTGGTGTTTGGCCCAAAGAATCTGTGGCTGGGGGAGGACATTTTAGACAGGGAGCTAAAGAATCACTTAAAAATAAACCCAACAGTGATTTTATATTGGACATCTAATATAACTCTCTATCAAAAACCCCACTAGTTAGCTTTCATGCAACCAAAATAATGCGTAGCTGCTTTGAACATTGAATGAGGCCAACAGTGTAACATGTAAAAGCCTTGATGCAGGGCTGTCCAAAGCAGTTTTAATGTGATTAATCACAGAGTAGCTGTGGATGAAACCCCATTATTTATGAATTAAGAAGTCAGTTCTGATAGACAGTTTCAACAGCTGTGCTCAACAACAACAAAAGAAAGACAGAAAGATAAATAAATACATTTTGAAGCTTGTTTTACTTTCTCAAAGAAGGATTTTGCTAAAATCATCTCCCGTCCCCTCCATAAAATCGTGTGTTCCCCACAAAGTCTAGAGATGGCAGAAGTGGCGCAGGATGAGTTGCAGAGGGAATGAACTAGGCTGACATTTACTCTCATTTTCTACATCTCACCATCTGCCTGCAGCCACCTTGCCACAAAAACATCAGTACAACCATATAGTAGCCGGGGAATATTGATTAAGACTGCTGACATTTCTGCTTCCCTTTTCACACAGGCCGGGTACAACCTGTGCCATCTTTTCCAGATGAAGACAGCGTGCACACAAACACACATCCTCATCCTTTCTTTGTGCCATCAGCGCTTCACTATGTCACAAACGTGTCCTCATTTCGACAGCGCAGATCATACATGCAGAAAATGGAAAGAGGTTGTGAAGATAAATTTCCTCATATGGATTATGAGTTTTACATCTCCATAGATGCAGTGTGTAGGTGCTGGATATTTGTTAACGAGCAATGAAAGAAATAGGGGAAAAAACAAGTCTCTCTGCATCTTCGGTTATTATCGATCGAGAACAAGCTGTTAAAAATGAATATAGTCAGTAGCAGAGATAAAAAAATATAGTACAATCTAATGGTATTTCAGTTTGTTTACAGTGATTTTTTTTTTTTTTTTTTGTCTTTGTTACACATAAACCTTATGATACACTGGGTACAAACTAACACGTGATGTAAAAGGATTTACTCAAGGAATACCTTACAGTGGTTTAATTTAATGCACTTTTTCATTGTAGCAACATCTAATGAAATTGTTTAGTCAATAAGGACATTACATAAAAAGATCAATATTGTCATTTTAATGTTGCAGTTTAGCACCTTCTTTAGTCTAACAGCCTGTTTCAACAGAGCCTTGAGATATGCTGGAGAGATTAATTGCAGAATAAAGTGTCCATGTCACGGTGCACATTTGTAGTGATGGATTGGTTGAACATTAATGACCATGCTGTCAGAATGCTTTTAAATTCATCATGTCTGCAATTAAAAATATGAATTTGTTTCCTAACATTGATTTAAGGTGAAATTAACCATAAGAGTGGAAATTAAAACTGTAAATTTTGTGGCCCAAGAATTAGGCTAATATGGAAAAGCTGCTTAGACTGCATTCTGTCATAATGTACCTCTCGAAACATTAGGCATAATAAATTACACCTACTGTATATGATGGATTTTTAATATCTTATCAACAAGATAATGCAAATGCATTTCTAAAACAATTTTTAAAACTGAAATTTGGAAGATTAGTACTTAGTAGGACCCAGGTAGTTGGGGTAGCAGCATCAATATGGAAGGCAAGATTTCTTTTCCCTATCTATTTCCACCAACTCCTCTGGGAGATCCATTAGTGTCCCACAGCCTGCTGGGAGATATAATCCCTCCAGCATGTCCTCAGTCAAAGGACTCTAAAGAGGTCCTGGGCACTGGGACTTTCTCTGAAAAATGGCATACTCTGACTACTTACTAAGGGATGTGCATAGGTAGACTTACCATTATTATAGATGCTATAACTGCCACATCTGAGTCCTGAAGATGCTGAGGAGCAATGCATTTATCATAACATTCTGAGCAAATTTAGCAGCACAGTCACAGTCTTACATCCTGCCCTTGTATACTTTGTTGCTGGGCTGGAGTAGGAGCCCAAGCTTTGGTTAGGCTGTGTGCAATTATATATATATAGTGTGTGAGTTCAAAGGTTTTAAAACCATTTTAAAATGTTATAACAATAACAAAGCATTGTATCTACATGTCCTATATTTAAGTCTAAAACATCTGCAAAATGCCTTTCTGACAGAGGAAATGTTTTCATACCAGGTCATAACTTGCTTCTTTGTCTTGGCAGAAGGGAGGAAATCTACTTCCTGTCACATGTTCTGGGGTGGGGGTTGGTATAAAGAAAATAAATTGAAGCTAGATTTAAAGTTTTAAAAGGTCCTATTGAAGTATGACTAAAAAAGCTGCTGTGAACAAAATTGTTAATTTGGGGAGGTTTTGGACATTTTTAAAAGATGAGACAGCCTAACCCTTGACAAAAATATGTTGAGAACACTTGTCAAAGCTGTTCCAAACAGAATTGTAAGATCTATTTTAAATTTCTTGGAATACCCTTGTGTCATTTTACCCATTAAATTGTCAGAAATGTTTTAAAATGTATAAATGTTGACATCTACTGTAGGATCTTTCACTTTTCAGTTCACTGTGATTTACATTCTTTTCAGTTCCTGCTGCTGTAAACTGCACGGTTAAAGATTTGATTAGCAACTGTTTAGCTGTTCTCAGATTTGTTTCCCACTCTCTCGTTTCATAATTATGCTGTGGATGTTTGACTAATGCTGTTGTCAATCCTTATTGTATGGCATATTAGTGAAAGAGAACTTACTGTCACACAGTAGAAATTACAACCTGTGGTTAATGGTTTAATTAATCTTTAGTCAAATTAAGTTAAAATAGTTCAATTCTTTACAGTTATTAGCAGAAAAGCAGTTACAATTAACATCCCAAATACCTCACATCTTTATCTCATACCTAAAAGTACTGTATCTCAGTAAGTATCCTGATTTTAATTTTAAAATACAAATTCATTATTACCTTCTTATTCACAGGGGCTGAGGGAAAAGAAAACAACCAGTGGTGTCCAGTTCTGATCATCATTGAGAGAATGTCAATCCCTTTGGCCTCTTTGTGAACAGATCAGAGGTCAGTGTCTGTATTCATTAAGCTCTCATTGGTGTTCACATCCTTCTTCACGGTTTTGAAATTAAATGAAGCTCACATGAGCAGACAATCTTCTGTGCGGGTGGGTTTCCAGGTGTACAGTAATCGGTTCATCAATGCCCATAGTGTAGCAATCCTCATATATGTGACATATCCAGAGTTGGCACTTCATACAGCAGAATCCAGTTTTACAGTTGAGACACTTTGATGGACAAAGTGTATAGTTAGCAACTCAATTACTGACTATATCAGTGCAGACACCTATAGTTGTGCCTTTTTGTTGTTCGCAAAGCTTAAATCATTCTTCAACCCTGGCATTGTATGACACGGTATAAAAAATATAGTGTCTTGTAGTGACCAATAAATAATGCTTGGCAGAAATGTGTCCCATGTCAGTTGTTGCTTTGAATTGCATTTTAATATGCACACGATATAAATGCTACCCATTCCATGCAGATCTTCCTTAGGGTAAGCTTATGATTTATAGGAGCCTTTAAATGTTGGCTTTACCTGTGGAGATGAGCAGGGAACAAGCTGGGAGTTAAGTTGAAGCTGCAGCACCTGCAGCTCACTCTTAAACCAGCCTTCTGTTGGAATAGCTCCCTGAGGGCAGCTCACTAGCTTTGACTGTAGCTTTTACTGACTCTTTCTGACTTGTTTGCCAAAGAATGGAAGAGAAAAAAAAAACCCAACAATTACATATCCGTATGTTGAGTGTTGTATCAGATTACATTTTCTAAACGTACATTCAGCAAATCTGACCAAGTGAGAGACGAGCTGTCTCTGTTGGGGCTGGTGATTTTGGAGAGTAAAAAAAAAGTTTCCAAAAAATTGGAATAACTAATCAGTGACAGTGATTGTTAGTAGATTTTGCCAGTGTTATACATTTGCAGTAATTCAAATTTGTAACAGATTCAAACTCCTAGCAGAACAAAAATCCTGCATCTAAATGTATTTCACCTATGTGCTCTGAACATAGTTACATTTATTAAAATTAATTGTGCAACAATAAAAATGGTTTGGCAAACCTTTTCTTCATTTGTAGGAATCTAATACACAACAGATGAGAAGCTGCACCACTGCAACCACAATTAAAATATTGGTGCAGCTAAAGTAGGTTAATGGAAGCAAGGGGTAAGTCACTGTTTAGTCCTTTATCCGCCTGTGTTTGCGAGGTCCAGTAATGTGCCTGAGGGGAGCAGTTCTAAGGGCTGATATGTTGGCTGAGCAGAGTCTTTAATAATCTTGGAGCCCCTGCTCCTACATCTAGACAATTACGTGTCCCTAACTACAGGCAGCTGTGTACCTAAGATGTTTTGTAAAGCCCTAACGACGATGCTGCAAAGCCCGGTGGATCAGTTTATTTGTTACAGCTGCTGTATGGTGCATGTTAGCAGCCTACACCATTTACACTCAGCCAAGCAAATGAGAAAGTCATTTTCTGTAGTGGAAGATCGCATTTTCAAACTCTTGCGCTTGTCACCTAATAGATGTAAAAGAAATGCTATCTGCAGCCTTCCTGCCTGTCGAGAAGTTAAGAGGGACATTTACAAAGTCCAGTTCTCACCCCGCTGGGGTTCTTGTTGTGCTATAGCAATGAGATTAGGTAGTTGAGGTCCCTGAGAAGTATTCAGTGACATTCACACACAGTAATTTGAAACTGCAGACCCCCTACTCAGCTTTGCTATTGATGAACGCCGGTCGAAGGCCAGATCCTAATTTTACAGATTCTGCAGTAGCCTGAAAAAAATTGCACCTCATCCTAGTATGATGGTCTGTCACTTTTGGTGTCAAGACCCGTGACGAGTCATCATCTCAACTCCAAATGTCAATATAGTGTTTCGTGACTGTTTTAATGATGTGTTAGTATGCTCACTATGGGCAGAGCTAATGTTTCTAGTTCATGGGGCACAATGTTTTTTTCAGATGCCGTTCCACAACGATTTACTCTCTATTAACCAAAACTAGTTCAGAAAGGCAGGGATGATGCTCTTAGTTTTGGAACACTTGGTCACAAAGGTCATGTTCAACTAAGCTGAGTGAATGCACAGACATCACATCGATCTCTTCAGAATTGTAAAATAATGATGCATTTAGGCAGTTAGAAAGGAGAGTCTACAGTTGAGGAGTTCACAAATTGAGAAAATTAGCTCGTGCTTGAGGCCTAATATATCTGACATTCTCCTGATACCCATGTCCAATTCAGAAACAGATGTTAGCACCAGCTTAATTTTAGGTATTAGCTGAAATTATGGAAGAGATCAGTTTTCTAAACCAAATATTTTATATTTAAAATTGGCTGTGGTTCTAATACTGTGCTGAAGAATCTTCTATTGCCTTCACCTTTTTTGTTCATTTAGCACAGATAAATAAATATTGTGCTACACACAGAATATAAATGTGTGACAAGAGTGTAAATCAGAAAGCAGAGCCAATGCCTGACACAACGTATCCATCTTTGCCATTTAATTTAGGCAAATCTGATTAACAGTACCTTGGTGAATGTCTGCCAATAAGGATTGCCAACATATTATTACTACTTAAAGGTTCCCTGGGTAAGATTCATTTATATTTTGCTTTTATATTGGCTGATATGGGATTTAAAACCCTAAATTGTTTTCATAACAGTAGAATGATTTTTTTTTCCATTTACATCAGTAGGTCATCTCTACAAAGCTGCTATGTAAAGACAAAAGACGATAAAATGGAGATTTTCTTTGTTAGAGCAAAAAAAAATGCAAAAATGAAAACACATTTTCTTTCAGATTGTATGGAAGGCAGATCACTTGTTTCTGTTTTTTAATATGTAATGAGTACAAAAAGGTTGTGTTACTTTCACCTTGCGAGGAACCAACACATTACATGTCATGAGTATGTGCAACAATAAACTTTTTTAATCAGTGCATCCCTCTGCAAAGAGACACAAGTGCTGCACCATATTTGATCACTACACTGGACAAAATACATTTTTAAAAGTAGAATGGAAAGATACATGGTTTACAATTACAAGGTCAAAGACAAAAATGACCATGAAATTATTTTTAAACATGCACATTCCATCATTTTAACAATCAAGAACAAGATCATCATCAAATATTTAACAAATGACTGAGCGATTGTACACTTTTTTAAAATGTCAGGGGAAACTGGGACTGCTGAAAACGTAAAAGCTGCGTTAATTGCCTTTTGTCTTTACATATCAAGCATGAAAGACTCTTGTCCTTCAACATAATCGTCTTTCACCTTCTGTCCATTTTTATACATGTCTAACCCCAGTGGTTGTATTTGTATATATGTATGCAAAGTGCTTAAAAGCTGTCTACCCGTAGAATACATGCCCCTTTTATCCACTGACATGCCCTAAAAGCTAAACACAAGTATTAGTGAAAAAACCCCTAACGAAATGGAGAGGCAGTCACAGCACTTTTGCAAATGATTCATTTACTGAAGCTGTTGGCTTTCTCAGGAGAGAAGGATCATCATTAATGTAAGCAAATGTGGGTCAAACTCCAATGAGGCGATGCAGCTTTCATCGAAGTAACATGTTCAATGTTGTTAGTTTGCCGTGTAATTAAGTTGTGTACAGCGGCACATTTGTCACAACACACTGGAGGTGGTAAACTGCATTGTGTGTATGAGCGTAGCTCAGAGGAAAAGAAAACAATATTGCTCAGTGTGGTGCTGTGTGCTCTCTGTGGAAGCCTGCATGGCTGTATTGGTTCTGAAAGCACAAAGTGGAATCAGATCAATGCTGCGCTCTTTGTGAACAGTACATATGATTGAGGTACTTGTTTTTCCTCAACACCCTAACTTTGATACATTTGTACACAAGTAAAAGTTTTGGTTTGGTTTATACCTTCAGTTCAAAGAACGCTAATGAAAAGATGGCGTTAGTTAGCACACTGGCTTTACTAACATACTAAGATATGTCTAATTGGTCATGCGATCAAGGTTGTTGAAGTTAATGTCACTGCTACAGCACATGTGCACAGTGTTCTTATTCATGCCACTCTTCTGTTGCAGATCAATGACAACAGCACTAAGTGCATGACAATAAGCTAAAAGCAGCCAGAGATTATGGGCCTTGCATATATCCTTTGTGAAACCCATTGTGAAGTCGCAGCATGTTGAAGTGACATTGGAGCATCTGTGTCCACAGTCTTGTAAAAAAAAAAAACCCTCTAAGAATTGCTAAGAAAAGGATAATCTCTTTGAATTTCTAGTAATCCTTCTAAAAAGGTGCAAGCAAATAATTAAATGTTGCCTAATTTTCGATAACAACAACTGTGGAATAAACCTTTACGATTTCCATGGTGACCTGCAGTGGGTTTGAATCACTCAAGTAGGGATGTGGCCTGAGACAAAGTGTCTCCTATAGGATGGCCTCCATGGTGAATTACTTGAGTCTCAATCTATTCACTGGGAGCCTAAATTCAGTGCTAGCGACAAATTACTATAAGACGAAGCAATTATTTATAGTTGGCTCCTTGACAGGCTGGGTTCTACTTATCTTTCAGAGTGCAGTCCTCAGACCTTCCACCTTATATTTTCAGCTCTTTCATTCCCATCTGTTATCACCACAGAAGGCTGACATTTTTTCAATACCACTGAAAGTTTTTATGTGTGACAATAAATTTGTCAGGCCTACACGTGAGCTCATTTTTTTCCTCTACCAGTGACTGTAATGTAGCAAAAGTTTTACAAAACACCAGTAATTTAGTAAAAGTTAACATCATAAGGTAAAAGAAATAAAGTAATCAGTCAGAAAATTGATTTATCTTAAATTGTTTTTCTTTGGTCTCTGCTCATTCTACTGGAATTGTGTGTATAACACAATATTTACTGTAAGAAGCCTGTACTATGGTAAACTAAACAATTTACCAGTATTTACCAATAGTAATCACAAACAGACAAATCTTTAAAGTTCCTTTATTGAACAGTTTTCTTGTTAATTCAAAGCTTGCACAAAATACTAGGTATATTTCTTCTTTCTTTTTCTCCCTCAACATTTACCAATTTGTCAAGCTTAAATATGTGAATAAATATTTAAGATGATAGTTATTTACCCATACAGTTTGGTGCTGTAACCTCTAAGCATGACAAAAGATAATACGGTTTTCTGTAGCATAGAGTGCACCGACTGTCTGCAGGTGTGCTGTCAGTCAGAGGAACGTGGACTTATGAGCTGTGCTCCAGATTCAGCCTGAACCAATATTGCCACAGTGGGTCTGTGATAAATAAAGATTTATTTTTTATTAGATGCAGAATGTCTGTCTCACAGTCCTCAAAATTAAAATATGTGCACTTGTCAAAATACCTTATCACCTCACTGCCAAAACAATACAAAATCACTTTTGTCTTTAGCGTTCTTTCTCCCAAAGTGACTGTGGAAAAATAAATACTGCAAATTAAATTGCAAGCATCGGAAAGTGTGTAACTCTTTACTGACTCAAGGTGAAAAGCTCAATTTAGTGGGATCTTGTTCTTTATTTTCTACAACTTTAACATCCTCAACATTAGCTTTTAAAGCCCTCTGGGGGTCCACTTCTCTATTTAATAGCTACGTTAAACCATAACTTGGTTCAAAAAGCCACTAGCATTACGATTTAACTGAAAATCCTAATGGCTAATAACAAGTGTCCAGTTAATGCACCATAATTGAGCTGACCTTTAAGTGCAGGCGTAGCTCATATATTTAAATGAACTTGCAGAGTCTAATGATCTTTCTTCCCTCCTCTGTCTTACTAAGGGAGACTTGGCTTCACTGTCATTATAAATGCAGATTTTATAAACCACAGTTACTGTGGATGAGGACACCTCGGTGTGTCAGCTTATTTATGGCTGGCAAGAAGAAAGACCAGACACAGTGAGGACATGATTACAAAGACCTGTGTGCGTTTTGTCATTATCTGATTGTACACTGAAAGTGTTTGCGTCTGCTGTGAACCAAAAAGCCGATAGAAAAGGCAAATGATGCTTTATTTCATTTAAACTGAATATTATCGTGACTTTTTTTTTGTTTCGTAGGATTTGTGTATTCATTGAAGTTCCTTTATCCCTGCAAGAACCCAGTTGGACTCCATGTCCTGTTTACAGCCTTTTAAATTAAAGTGATAATGGGAAAAATTCCAACAAAGTCTTATTAAACGCTTGATTGTTTTCATCAGGTGACTTAGGATCATGCGCTGCTTGGCTGCTCGTGTGAACTACAAGACCCTCATCATCATCTGCACCCTCTTCACACTCATCACTGTATTGCTGTGGAACAAATGCACCACCAACACCTCGGTTCAATTCTTGCCCCGTGCTGCATTGGTGGCTCCAAGTCCCAGGGATGGAGATGCCAGTGTCAGCAGCCAGCAACACCCTCCTCAACCTCCAGAGCCCCCACCTGTGGTCGGAGGCGTTGGTGGAATAAAGTATGAAGAAATTGACTGTCTGATCAACGATGAACTCACTATCAAGGGGCGCCGTGAGGGTGGAGACATTTATTTGCCCTTCGGTTGGATGGAAAAATACTTTGAAGTTTATGGAAAGGTAGTGCAGTATGATGGCTATGATCGATTCGAGTTCCAGCATAGCTATTCTAAGGTCTATACACAGCGTGAGCCCTACCACCCTGATGGAGTCTTCATGTCATTTGAAGGCTACAACGTGGAAGTTCGTGACCGTGTCAAATGTATAAGTGGAGTGGAAGGTAAGAACCCGTTGATTATTGTGCATTGAAAGACAATTATGAATATAAGCACATTATAAAATATGATTATGATGAATAAAGTGCCAGTTAGTGTTGAGCTTGATAAGAGATGGTAGCTGCATTCTGTAAGAGGAGTTTAGGAGCAGTAAATAGATATAGTTGTGATTGATGATGTAATTTTCCACATTGGAGTTGTTGCATGTTGGGTCACAAACAAACTCTTATTGTCTTTTGGGGATTTTGCACAGATTATTTTTGTGTTATGTGTATTAGCTGTGATTCACAGAAGCCAAATACAATTTACTTTTTGAACCTGGAGCAGCAGGTCATTATTGGAATTGTTTTTTTTTTCATTAATTTTTTTTAAATGAATTATATCAAATAAAAATTTGAAGTTGTAAATAAAAAAATCAAAACTGCAGTTCTACTAACAGTTCTACTAACAGGCCTCACTGGGTGACACAGTCTGCCACCCGACTATAATTGTGCCTCGCCACAGCATGTAGAGGATGGATCA